ATAAATAAATAAATAAATAAATAAATAAATAAATAAATAAATAAAATCAAGCTGACATTCAAGGTCTGAAGCAACTTGGAATGACACCTGTCAGGTCACTTTTGCCATTATGGGCCTAGTTCATCACTAGGATCATTATGAAAGGCCATGATATGCTTCCTGAGAATAGTTGAATGCCAGGCAGAAGCTCCTTCTCTGTGGAGGTGTGCATGTTCTATAATACTCTCCCCTGTGAAATTTGTAAGAATTTGAAGTCACCTTCTGACAATTTAGTTCTTTGTGCTGCCTGCTATGAATGAATAATCTATGTTTTTCCTTCTTCCTCCTTTAATGTATTGCTTGCTTGCTCGATTAAATGTATATGTATATTGCTTGCTTGCTTAAATGTATATGTCACCCGACTCCCAGTGTCTCTGGCTGGTTGCATTAGAGTTTTTCTTACAAAGAGCTTTGAGATGCCTTGGCATAGGAAATTATATAGAAAGATGACGATGATGATAGCAAACCATCTGGCCTGACCAAAGGGAATCCTCTCTTATAGTTACAGCTGCAAAAAGCTGAGTCACAGCCATCTGGAAAATTTCCCATGGCTAAGAACATGGAATTTCCTTACTGGGAGAAAGAACAGGATGCACAAATCCCCAAATGAAGAGAAAAGGGGAAGATACTGCTCACCTGATCAGCATGAAGCCCAGAGTAATATATTAAAGATTCCGTCCTTCCACATTCCGTCAGATCAGTTCCATACACCTCACCAACCCCATCCTCTCCTTTTTTATAGAACTCCTACAAACCTATAGGATTTACATACTAGGCTTTTCATTTTGATGTTGTTTGTTCATTTACAGCAAAATAGCTTCAGATGTAGGCAGAAATAGGATTATTTCATGCTTATGTATTCCAGCAATGCTTGTTTTTTTCCCCTCCCTATTTTCCTTCCCCCACCTTTCAAGTGTTGATTTTTCATGTACTTTCATAAAATCCTTTCTCCATAAATGTAGCCCAAACCTTTCAGGAATGAACTGATGATCTTTGTCCCTTGCTATGGAGATGTCAAAACCAATACAGCAGTGACAATGCTAGACTCAGTCTTTCCACTTCACTTGCCTTTTCCTCTACTCCGAGTCAACAAAGACTTGCTCTTCAGAAAATATTTTTACAGCACTGTGTTTTTCTTTGAAGAACATATTATACCAAAACTTTATGCTTTTCAGAGAACTAGATGTGAAATACCGTTCAAAAAATTCAGGAAGGGAAGGTAGGGATGAGTGCACTTCAGAACTGCAGATTAAAATTCTTCATCTTTTGAGAGAGCTCTGGAAATGTATAATTTTCAAAAACTACACCCCCCTAAATTTAATACACATCGGTTTAGCAAATGTTGGATACAACAGATTTTTTTTTTTGTTCAGACTTCACCCTCACAAAGGTTTGTGCATTAAATCATAATTTGTAATTATTTCAGATGACATTTTTGTTATGTAATTCCACAAATGACATGAATGGATGCAAATGACACACTGATGCATGATATAAATTTGGATTTAACGGACACTCCCAAAAGGATTATTAAAGAAGTTTACTGTACTTCATAAGGAAGTGCTGAACAGAATTAGCAGGCCACTTACCTGAACAGAACGAGGATTTGAGAATCATGACGTGTAGTGGTACCTATATGCCTGAGGGTATATCTGTACTTGGGCAAAAAGGCAGTGTATAAATCCAGTAATTATTTTTTATTTAAAGTTTCTGGTTCTGACATTTCAGGTTATTCAGATTTCTGAAGCTGAGTAGAAAGCTAATTTTAATACCCTTCCTACTTACACATATCACCTTAATTTCTTTCTACAGTATCTATTTTGTTCTTGAGATCCCGCTAGAGATATTTAACACAACTGGGCTTTCTGACACAGGACATGCCGGAGTCGTGTTACACAATACCAGGATGAAGCATACTTGAGTTTCAATGTAATTTCAATTTTCACATATATTTTGGGGAACAGGAAGTGGCCTGTTTTTAAACAGGAAAAGAAAAAAAAGTATGAAAGCAGCAAAATGAAACTCAACTTTATCCAGGGTGTTAGTTAGCACACTTACTCCATATTGGGCCAGGAATAAATTTTACAGCACATCACTACCTTTTTGGCTGTTTTAATTATTTTCATGTAGCATGTATTTTTAAAGTTATGTTGAAAAATTCATTTAACATTCAATAAACAAGTAGGACAACAGCAAACAGATGTGATTTGGGGGCACTAGACCAGCTAAGGGATAAGAAAAGTGTAATGGGAATTTGCAATGCCAGGTCACTGTCCCTAGTATATCCCTACTTTGATTTTTAGAGAGTATTGGGAATAAATGGCAAGACTGCCCTGCAAGAGAATAAACTCAATTTGCAGGATCATGACTCTATGCATTACCCTTAGACTTGAAAGCAGATTTGCTGTTATTTGTACCTAGCAATAACAGAAAGCCCTCTGAATACCTATAGTCTACCACCTAAGTGGAGGAAGAATGGCCACTTTGGAAAAGTAGATGTCGCATTTATCCCTCTAAATTACACGTATTGGTTTTGACCGTAAGTGGAGTTTTCTTCCATCTTCCATATGAAATGAGCAAGATTCAAATGGCTAACAGCTATGGTGTCCTTCCCACATTTTCTTGGCCTATACCCCCTTGTTCTTTGTTCCCAGGGCTGGCTTTGCTATTGCTATGGAGATGTGACAGCTGAAGCATTCAGGTGTTATGACTGACTGGTTGTAAAAAAACAGGTTCCTAGCACAACACACACTAGAGAAAATGTTTATTGAAATTTTTAAAAGTAAAAAAAAGCCAAAGAAGAAAAGTTAACATAGCTTGTGACAGGTTCTCTTATATAAAATAAAATAAAGCATCCAGTTCCATGTTGCCAGCAGCTCAGTTTGGCCTCCCACTGTATTGACCTTCCACAACGTGGTCCCCTCCAGAATACTGGATTTCAACTCTTAGAATTCCCCAAACGCTAGAGAGGAAAGGATTGAGAAAGTCTGCTCTCCTTCTTAAATAAGCAGCCTTAAAAGGGAACACTGTCCTTCCACTGTCTTTTCATAAGAGACTTCTTCTCTATCATAATTTCTCTCTCCCTCCCACCCTCCCCCAAGCATCTTAAAAAATTAAGACTGGGGCATATTCATATCCCAATTCTGCCAACTTACATTGTCTGGGAACCATAACCAGTATGAATTTTCTTAGATCTAACATAAATTCTTGTGAAGATAAAACTTCACAGTTTGTTGAACACAGCTCCGATTGGCACGAAGCCTTCATTCTATCAGCCTTTCATCTCATTTTAGGAATGAGCTTTTTTCATTCCTCTGCTTTCAAACATTACAGCTGTACCGAAAGAGAATTCTTCTATTCCTTCAATCTCAACATAGGCACTTTTATGGCTTGATTTTATGGCAGATGGTACCACAGATGGGATACTTCATTAACCAATTTATCAGCCAGTTTTTGAATCTGGAAGGCATCTGTGTCTCTTTTGCTAATTCCTCAGCTCTTTGCAGACAGGCTAAAGAAAAGTGGAAACAGATCCTGTCATTACTGGTACTGAAAAAGGACTTAGGCACATTTACAGAAACAGCAGCTCACACAACAGGACTGGTCAGACTGTATCACTTCAGACAGCATGCATGTGTGTGCTCTGCTAGACAGAGAGAAAAAAAATCTACGTACAGAAAAAAACCCCCCAATATATCAAGAAGAAGCTCCCCCATCAGCTGGTTTTCAATACATGAATTTCATTTCTGTTCATCATTTGTCAGCTGCAGCTTGAAGTAATAGAGTGGGTAACTTGTTTTCCAATGTGATCTTCAATTTCTCTAGACCAGGAATAATCAGCCTGATGCCCTCCAGATGTTTTGGACTGCAACTCCCATCAGCCCCAGCAGAAAAACAAAGGATCTTGGCAGTAAACATTCAAAACAGCTGGAAGACACTTGTTACCTATCTTTGTTGTTGACTAAGCATTACAATCTCCTTCTTTTGGAAATGCTCTCTACTCTACCCTTACTTTGCTAAAGATGCAATAATTTAATACTCTTGGCCTTAGGGCTCAGTTGCTGCTCAATTTTCTCTTTTTAGAATGGGAATCTGATTCTACCAATCAGACTTCAAACTTATCAGAACTTTTACTTGTCAAACTTTAGTTCTTTCTGCTAATCTCCCAGGAGGAAAAGCAACATACTTGCCAATGTGTGTTTTTTTAATGAAAGGTATAAATAAAAAATCCAGCAGCTTCCACATCCCCTGACTTAGAGTAGAAGAGCAACTCAGCGTGCACATTCAATCTTTTGCTCAAAAAGCATTTTGCTCCTCATAAGAACTTCTAGATGGTCAGATATCTTTTAAGCACCCCCTTCTCTTTTCCATTTAAAATATCTATTTGTATCTGTTTTTCATTCAAATAGGCAGGTTTTGCCCACAATCTGGGGAAAAGCTTTCCTCAGCTTCCCCTTGCCCTATTAAAACTTGTATCGAGCCAGGATATCCAATAATCATCTATAGCACCACACCTTCTATTTAAAAAAGTGGCCTCTGCTTAAAGCTAACCTTTTTTCCTAATAATGCACTTGATCCATTTCAGCTGCTAGAGGACAGAGTAAGTAACTTTCAAGAGAACTCTGGCTGCTTATATGTTACCGACTGAATGCTGAACAATATTCAAATACAGTATAGGAAAAACAAGACAGAGACTATTTAGTGGTACATTTATACACATTTCTCAAGGACACTCAATAGAAGGCCGTGAGTTACACATATCCATTTGGTACTCTGGTAACTCCAATGCACATGCACACACACAATATATGTATGTAGATAAAACGTACATGCACAACTGATACCTAAGATTTGTACATATACTGTAGTCTATTGTACTGGATCATGTAACCCCAAAGCCTTTGAAAGGTGGGTCGACTGGCAGAATCGCTTTTGTTTTTAGTGCATGCAAAACTTGACATTCAGGGCAGGGTAGCTTTAAGGCTATTTCTAAGGCTAAAAGATGTTTTCCTTATTTCCTGCAAACATAATCAGCAAGACTCTTGAGACATAGTTTCCTAAGGATGCCAGAAACAAAATGTTTCTGATTTGGGACAGATATTTAAAGACTCCCTATGGAGGAATTAAGTCTGGTTGCTGCCTACACCAGAAAGTGAGGAGAAGGGGCAGTGTGGAGAGAGGGAAACAGAGAAATAAAAGTCTAATCAACACTTTAATTTTCTGATGTGTCTTGTGTACCCTGAGATTCTAGTTTACACAGATTTGCTTCACTTGCCTGAAAGGAAGATCAGTTTTTACCCCAAATAATTTACCTTAAAGAAAGACAAGAATATGGTAAAGAAGGCAGTTGAGTTTTTCTCTCTGCTCTTTCAAGGGGAAGAGACTGATATTTTTAACTTTAGGACTGCCTTCCTTTTGGGTAAATGTGGCTAGATCCAGCTCATGTCCAGGTCACCTGTTCCAACTACTGTTGAATCCACTGTAGCTGATATGACCACAGCAGAAGAAACCAAGATTAAAATGACTTCTGCAAGAACAACACGAAAACAGCAGAGAAGCTAAACTTGAGGAACTAAGAGGTGGTAACAGGATAGGATTATCTGTACTAGTGAATTCTTTATTTCAAAAACAAAACAAAGCACTATGCAGATGGTCATTCTATGGCACAGATGACATAGCAATGTACATTCCCTGACTTGGGACCTTCCAGATATATTGGACAACAATACCAACTGTCCCAGATGATGGTTTCAAACATCTGGAGACTAACAGAAGATACAGTTAGTGGAGCTGGGGTAAAGAACAAGACAATTTTCAATTTTGCACAAAGGATAGATAAGTGGGGAAGAATGGTCAGAAATCATAAGCCAATCAAAGAGAAAATAATTTCTTGAGCTATCAGCTGGACAGATATGAAAGAGATATTTGTCTGGAACTGTGATGGATGAGTTCTGGAAAATTGCTCAGCTTATAGTTTTTCTGTTCTATTTCTGGTGTGTAGAAATGAGAATACACAGGCATCTGTAGGGATAAATGATGAAATGCATGTCATGATGCAAAAACCTTGTGATTTGGGTACTTGTGGTCTGATGCCAGATCACAAGTATGAAAGGCTGAGGTTGGCATTGTGACTATGCAATAAAAAAATAATTTGTCATCATGGTCTGTACAGGATGCCTATTGGAGAACAGGTTCAAAGTTTTATTTGTGGGGTCATATCCCTAGGTATCTTGAGGAATATTATCCAGCTTTATTAAAGGCTTTTCAGTGACACAGAATAGGTGCCTCCTTAAAAACCAACAAGTTACATTTAGTGAACAGGTTTCCAGAAATTATTTAATTGGTTTCTCTCAACAAACCATATTTGATGAATAGGTCTCCAGAAATTGTTTAACTGGTTTCTCCCAACAGTTATTTTTGGCATCAGAATATTTCACATTTACCGAGCAAACAATGTTAGGCAATATTTGCAGCAAAAGTAATAATGTAAGCAATGTGTTAAGATATTAAAAGAGTGTATATTCCATTATTAGATCTACATTTAAAAAAAGAGAGTTACATCAAAATTAAGAAACCAGGTTGGGGGTTAAGTCTTCCTTTCTATAAATTAGTATCTTGTGAAGACTTGGCTGTGACTTGTATCCATGCTTTGTCTCCAGGAAACATAATGGAAATCATGGTAATAGATTTATGCAAATTCATGAAACAAGTCTTTTTAATGAAAGGGATGTTATTATTATAAAAATATTGACAAATGTGCATGTTTAGTAACAGAACAGCAAAAGAGTTTAATTCTGCTCAGGGACTCTTGTACACTTATGCTCACACATTTAGTCCAAGAATCCAAGATTTCTTATAATCAAGACAAAAAAAGTTGGAACAGGAAGATTTTACTTTATCTCCTCCAGAGGGAAAAAAAAATAACCACTCTTGGGAAGCAAAACACTTTCCATGTTCCTCATAAGGATACACTCCTTGAAGAATAAACTCCTAAATTCCATCTGGGTCCAATGGGAACAATGGCTGAGAAGAGGGAGAGAAAGGCTATCTCTGATAGAGGCCTGGAACCACTGGCATGATAGCTTTTTTTACCCCATAAACTGATGTGTAACTAACTCTGCCACAAATATACAGAAAACTCCCCCTTCCCCCACCCCTTAAAATGAACAAGAAGACTTCCAAGTAAGAATGATATGCTCTGTATGATAATATCTGAAATAGGTATATACATAGTTTTCTTTGTTTTTGTTACAAGCATCTCCTGATCAGGCAGCGGCACTTGGGGTTGCTTCGGCACCACTGCTTTGCCCTGTTCTTCTGCTCCTCAATAGACAGAGCTATTCCTGATGCCACAGCACAGCACCATGCTCAGGATCATTTCGAAGATCTGCAGGCCAAGAAGACAGACAAGGACAATGAGCGTCCAGCCACACTGACTGCAGGCTAACACATCCCTTATTCTTATTTTCAAGCAGCTACAGCCTAATGTATAAGTAAGTTCTGGTTAGCAAGTCTGAAATGGGCTTTAATGCACATGGAATCTACGCTGTCACTAACATAAATATTTAAAATCATATAGCAAAAATCTAATCTGTATCTAACTGTTTTAAATACAAAACAGTGAAGACCAAACATGAATTTTGGATGGGATTGCTGAAAACTTTATTGGATTTCTAAATTTTCTTTCGCCGCAAATACATTTCAACCACATCATCAGCAAAATTAATAGTACTGGAAATTAAATGCTGCCAAGCCTAACTTCAGTTGGATAAAACCAAAACAGATTTACAGGTAATCCTTGGCTTACCTCCATTCATTCAGTGACCATTCAAAGTTACAGCAGCACTGAAAAAATGGATGTACAACCAATCCTCAAAGTTCTGACCACTGCAGCACCCCCGTGGTCATGTGATTGAATCTGGGCACTCGGGTGCCTGGCTCACAATTATGATGTTGCAGGGAGCCACGGTCACATGATCACCATTTGCGACCTTCCCTGCCAGCTTCCCACAAACAAAGTCAATGGGGAAGCCAGCAGGGAATGTCGCAAGTCACTCCAGTAAGTCCCCCTGGCCACTCAAGTGGCTCTGCACCTTCCAGTGCTCATGTGGCACCACACCCTCCGCCCCATGGCATTCCTGCACTCACACACTACCAAAGCATCCCCTCCCCTGGCCTCCCCCAACTTGTGCATGGGTTGTGCTGGGCCTTCCCCAACCCCCTGCGCTCCTTACCTGGGGCTCCCGCTGCTGCCCACATATCGACCTGTGCGTCTTGGGGTTACGATGGCAACTGGGACTGCTGGGAATGTCACTAAGTGATGCAGTCATGTGATGTCACACTTTATGACCAGACCTCTTATCAGTGGCAATCCCAGTCCCAATTGCTGTCGTAACCCCAAGACTACCTATAAAAGAAGTCACCTCTAGAAGGACATCAGAATGATAGCATTATCCATCATCTTCAGTGAAAAGGCAGAAAGGAATATTTAATGTTCCCAGATTCAAGGATGCTGAGTCCCAATTGCTTGTGTGAGTTGCT